CTTAAGCTCGGGAGCACGATCGGACAGGCCAAGGTAACAAGATTGTATTCGATAGAGAGCTAAGCTCTCGGCTACGTAGCTATCTATATACAATGCTGGTTGCTAGGGTAACAATCAGGCCAGGCAGGTGGAGTAAACGAGGTCGTAGACGAGTATGGGAGGCGAAGGGCGTTCAGCCCGTTACACACGCCTTAGATCATAGTAACCTACTCACGGTTGCCTAGCTATATCTGCTTCTTTTTCCTATATCCTTCTAATGCTGTAATAACTAACTATAATAAAATCTTGCCTATTATAAAGCTAGTCTTGTTAAAGTTGTAGATATTGTCGTCTATAATACCCCACTTCTGCCTTGTCGCCTAGACTAAGTCAAACTAGCGCTAGATAGCTACTGGATTCTCGCAGGCGGCTTGCTGGTGATTATAGGGACGGCTCCAGCGCGTACGGAGCTTAGGAGTCCGCTTAACAAAGTTGTTAACCTAGTTCTTGCCAACAGGGTTGCTACTACGCTCCTCTAATAGTTTATTAGCTATTACTTAAACGTTAAGCTTTGTAGGCGCAAATCCTCGCGCAGACTCTTCAAGAATACGCTTAACTATAGCCTCCTCTTCTAGCTTATCTAGACGCTTCGATTTCAGCTCGTAGTCGCGTTAAGGGCGCTTTCTAGCGCGTTAATTAGATAGAGTTCTTTGTGGGACGTTGTAGATAGTAGCAGCATAGTTTACACTCTAAACACGTTGCGACTAGACGTTGAAAAAAGCAAGTTAAAGATTAGATTTAGAATATATTAATAGACGGTTGCGTTGTTAAGACATCACGCGTTATAGTGATGAAGTTGATGGGCTAGTGGGGCGTTAGCGACTCGCTTGGGTTAGCGACTCACTTGTGAACCACGTTAGTAACTTTGAAATAATAAGAATAACTTTATTAGTAATAACGTGGTTCATAAGCGAGTCGGCCACCCAAGCGAGTTGGCCACTTTGTACCAGCGCGTCGACGTTAACACTATAACGCGTTATGTCTTAACTACATAATCATTTGTTAATCTGTTCTAAATCTAATCTTTAACTTGCTCTTTTTAACGTCTAATTACAACGTGTTTAAAGCCAAAGACGTGCTGCTTCTATCTATAACGTGCCTCAAACTACTCTCTAAGACTAACGCGCTGGAAAGCGCTTTCGACGCAACTACAAACCGAATTTAAAGCGCCTAAATAAGCTAGAAGAGGAGGCTATTT